TCGTTCTCGACTTTCTCTTTAATCCTTTTCATACTATTCACTCCCTTTTCTCAACTATCAAATATTTCAACAAAATAAATTTCTTAAGGACAACATGACACTCACCCTCCGCCACTCACGATATTCACTCTCCTTTAGCATGTCAACGACGCCCGGACATTCTTTGAACTATAGAAAATATATTGCAAAAGACAAACTCTTTGAATGGGACAAAGTGAAAATGAATATTATGTATTTGACATTTGAATCTATTGTACGGAAAGCAGGGCTTTTATGTCACACAACATTTTCTGAAAAGTGTGTCGCTGAAGACACACATAATCCCTTATTTTATATCAGAATGACGAATCTTTTTATGTGCCCCGCAACAAAATGGGTTGCGGTCTCACTTGACCCATCGCAGCAATTCATACAGAATCAATTCCTATTCACTCTTCCACGGGGGAGTTAATATAGTCAAAAGTGGTGTACACCTCAGTAGAAGTATTTAAGAAGTGGAGGTGTTAAAAAAATACACAATATTCCTTTCCTGCGAGCTCCTTTTAGTGACAAAATGTCTAGAATCTATTAATTTTTCTTGGTTTTTACGAAGAAAGAATCTTTTTCTAGGTTATGTAACGAAACACAGACGGTTTTAGCGAATATTCCACATTCTAGCACATCAATTCTTATGCTAAAGTCGCCAAGATGCGATTAACATTGCTATTCTGAATCTTTGATGCCAAGAAACACTGCAAACTGTATTGAAGTCGAACATAACCTCAAAAATAGTATTGTAGAATTTGAAAAATGTTTATTTAAATCACTTTCTGCACGATTTTGACTCTAAATCAGCAATTTTAAGTTCATTGGCAAGTCATAAAAGATGATTTCACTGATCTTTTAAGTTCTTCCAGTGATATTTTTGAGGTTATGGTCGGAAAATACGATCAAAAAATCAATTTTAAGCGGATTTTAACAAAAATATCCCATAGAACCTTAAGATATTTGTTATAATTTGCGAATTATTGTGGAAACAGTCTAAAAATTTGAAGTGCTGGATTTTCCAGGAAGAAATGTGCAGATTAGGAGCATATTATCTCCCCCTTGCACTCTTCCATCCAGAACCATAGCCAGTATCAACTCAGAGTTGTGCATTGTTGCGATGGTGAATTGAGCTGCCAATACATATTCAACACCGGTCGCCTAAAAAGGTATCAATTAGTCACGATGATCGAAAAGTCCAAGTCACTCACCACACTTTTAAAGAGATGAACCATCTCTGGTCCATATTTAATAGGGCGGTACTCAATATTGACAAGACCTTTTCAGTTATTTCAAACAACGATGAGATGCGCGTACGCTAATTAATAGACAACTGGCGGCTGCTCTCATCCCTGCCAAGCCGTATAATTTTGTTAAAACACTCAATGATAAGTCAAAATATGAAAATGCTTTGGGCGAGCGCCTGTCGGTGGCATCAAGTCTCTCTCAGATCTGCACAGGTAGTGCGCATACATACATATAGGCATATGCCGTGCTAATGAAATCAATTGGATGAATGGCTGCTCTGTAATTAGCAAGCAACACTTTTTCTCTGTGCACTAAATCACTCTCAAACCATCTCAAACCTTGTTTACACCGCGCGCTTCGAGATTATGCAAAGCAGAGCTGTGTGAGGGTCTCATCGCCACCCTTTTCGTGAAATCTCATCTAGGCCTTTATAAACCCTAAATTATCCTAATGTTCATCATTCTGCGATGTATCTGGCGACAATCAATTGTGCATTTAACGTCTAAAATTGAGACGCGCTCCGGCACATTTTGCTAATGCGAAGGGGACTCGAGCGCCGTAGATCAAAAACACCCACCCACAGCCAACCCCCGAGTGCACATGGGGTGAGAAGCTGGCAAGCATAAATATGCTGCCTTAGATATACATTGAATGTATTTGGACCGTTGTCACCCGCACTAACCCGAGATCGTGGCGTTTTAATCTCCGGGGTGTGCAAGATATAGATAAGGTTTTCTCCAAACTAGAGATACGTCGTTCCTCGGCAACCAGGGACGAACTCCCTGCCATACGCTGAAATCACTGCACCGCTCTCTCTCTCTCTCTCTCTCTCCCGGGGCTCTGAAGGAGGCTCTCCTCCTCATATGTTTAGGATAGGGGAAAACTCTCAAATTGCCCTCACTTTGTGCTGCCAGAGATTGTCAAGCATCCCTCTGACGGGGTTCAATTCACATCAAAATCGTTCTGAGTATATTTAAGAACGAGATGTGAGACGTGATAACTTGATTTATTATATTTTGGCAAGGAATCTATGTTTTTTTTCATAATATTTAAGTTTGAAAAATAATTTTTTTTTATTATTTAATTTGATATTGTATTTTGTTATTGTAGAATATCGTCCTTTAGGAAACCTCTAAAATCTGTCAGTTTTTGAGCTGATCTTGATCCTAAGTGAATAATTTGTTGCATTTGAGATTAATACGAGTGCCGTAATTTCCAAACGAAAAGGCTGTCAACTGTTTTAGTCGATTTATCCAGTCAGCCGATCTTATTTGGGGAAAATGTGTAAGATATTAGATTAAAATTAAGTATTGGAAACAAGAAAAAGCACAATATGTCATGGCTTATAATTTTGAAAAACCTATTCCCAAATACGGAAGAATCCGTTTTTGCTTCTGCTGCTTCCTGGCTCAATTACAGTAGCCGTGCTCTGTGGAAACGTTCAATTGCAGGAGCGACACAAGGGAGCAGAGGAATATTGTTCCCCAGTGCGGAAAAATAATCGTGTTTAACGATAAAAGGACATCGGATAACGGATAAGGGGGAGAGATATAGATTTATATATTATATACACAAATAAATTTCTGTTAAGTCTTATCTTAACTGTGCAGTTTTGTGAATCACAAAGGGGGCGCGTCTATTGTGCACATTTAATATACCAATCATGGTGAATGACAAGTGCATACAACATTTGTCAGGATTAAAAGAAAATTTCGTGCGCAAGCTTTCGAAGTACGAAATTGCAAAAAGTCAGGCCGAGAGCGCAAAACCATGTGGATGCTGAGCTGTGGTGTGGAAATCTTTTGGGGGGAAGATTCTGCGCACTTGAGGCACTTCTCCAGATTTTTCAGTATTTGCGAGAAAGATGAGCGGGTGGAAGAATTTTTGGGGTACAAAGCGAAAGGGAGGCTGATGGTGGTCCCGGTATATAAAACTCGGCGGACAGTTTCGCATAAAAGTGTTATCTAGAAGATTTACGAGCCGACTTTCTACATCCCCTATTTCATACGTACATAGAGTTATATATCAAGGTTTCCAGATTTGTAGATGGGGACTCATCCGAAACGTCAGTCTTTGTGTGTGTGCCGTTTTTGTGGCCTCTCCCTGTGTTGCTCCGCATGCCAGATCCAATGGGTGGATTCGTCAGAGCCTTGGGTGGAAATCCTGTGAGCCCGAATTATGCTCAATGGTTTCGGTGCATGTTGGCCTGCTAATCACTGTGACCGGGGCTGAATGGAGACTGCACTAAACGTAAATTTATGCTCTAACTGCTAAACATTGTTATTAATCGTAAATAAGAGGTACGGTTAGCAGATGAGAAGCATGCTTTATCATATCGATCAGGCGATGAATTACACTTTATTAGGCTCGTAGTCAAAGGCTGTGAAGGATGCCTGAAATTTTTACAAAAGTGCAAGTCCGTGAATAAGTGTAGTGAATGCGAAATCCCGGGCTAGAGCATCCCCTCTGCGCGTCATCTACAATTTTCCTACCCAACAATCACTGCGTAATCATACACGCTTCTATGCTGGTGAATTTGAATTTTCCAGCACATCCCTTTAATCGCATTTGACGCTCAAGCGGCATCCGCGAAGGGTTAGAGAGAGATTTTTCACATGTAGTCATTAACAATGCAGCAGCTGTAGCGTATTTGATGTAGCATTTTCAAAATAAAAGGCGTTCAAGTGCCAATCGCCATTTTACTGAAGGCGGAGTTCCACTTGAGCGTTCTAGAACGGTGATTCGATGCCGGGAAACGCATGCCAGATACAGTTGCCAATGAAGAGCATCGCTGAGTGCTTGGCTTCTGGTACAGACTGAGACAACAAGATTTTCAGTGTATTTTAATCATCTTGCCAACTCGGATCGAGAAGGATGCTTTCCCGCCTGATGCGCCCTCAAAATTCATTATCCTTATTGAGGCATCGCGACCAACTCACCCAAAATAAATCCTTTCAAGCCTATTTCGCCTGTTTCACGCCATGGCAAAAATTAATTTGCAATTTGTGATTTTCGCTAAACACCTCTATGATATGTTTACTGCAGATTAAAATTTATCTGATTTTTTAGAGTAAAAAAAATGCATTTTTTTTATTGTGCATTAAAATTTTTATTATGGCAATCATGATATGAAAATTCACAATTTCTGAGCAATTAATTCAGTCAATTCCAGTATCAATTACAACTGCCGATAGTGCATAAATGTGTGGCGATAGAGGAGAATTTTCATTGCCAAGCTAGGCGCGATTTTTTCCAAAGTGCCTGGCAAGGCAGCACAAAGCAGCACAAAACAGCGCCACACCGCAAAGAGAGCACAAAAACACGAGCACACAATGGAAGAGGGGGCGCTCCGTGAGTGCCTCCTTGTCATCTTCCCAAACATATTCACGGGGATCGCTCTTGCCATACAAAAGAGACAAATGATAAAAACTAACAGGAGAGGGAATACCACTGTGGTATCGTTCGTAATCACGCCTAGCCGGCTCGAAATCGATTGTAACTCCGCCTCGAATGTGTAATCAATTCCCAACTGCGAACACCGATTTTTTGACAAACCGAACAACATACGAGAACCACCCGAAACGACTCAACTGCAACGAATATGGCTTTAGTCGGTCCAAGACCGTTGTCGTGTTTGCGTGTTTTTATAGCTCGCGTCGCGCTCGCGCTGAAGCAGAGGCAAAACTTGTGTGTGAATTTTGCAAAAGAAAGCTTCGTCGAGAGAATCTGAGAAGCATTTCGGACTGGAAGAATGTTTATTGGTTGTTTTTGTGTGAAAATTTGTGACAATTATGAGGTACATATCGCCAGATTATGCTCATAAGCAGAGTTTCGAGTGCCAACAATTATTGGGATTTGCTGTGTAAACGGTCCTTGTTCGGCTTTATCTCTAAGTTGAGCCTCTTCAACATTTTATCAACGGCGCAACATTTATTGACAATATAATGTGATTTATTTGCCATCATCGAGCGCGTTCTGATACAAAACTCTCGATCACCATCAATAACCCCAATTGATGTAAATTATCTCATGCCGAAAATGATTAGATTATGTATTGCTGTGCAAATATTCCACCACTCGAACTGTGTTATACTTTTTTGTGATTCTAAATAGAACAATGAATCGACTTTTAATCGCTACACTTGCATGTTTTCATTCGGAGATTGCACAATTCTGTAATTAGTTGTGTGATGGTTTCTAATATTTATTTGTGTTGTTTTTTGTTTTCTTGTTTGCTAAAATACAAATGCGCGCGCGCCTTTGGCACTGAATTCACCGTGGAAGGAAAAGAATTCAAAATTTCATAATAAGAAAATATAATATATTCCACGCCGGTGTGGAATTGTTTTTAAAGGTATAAATTGTGAACTAGAGTCAAATATTTACCTTGAATATCAAACCTGAGGTCTGCAAAAGAACCAACAAGCGACGGGGACTTTGACTTTCAGAAGTTGGAGGAGCGGCGAAGCGAATAATTTTCAATGAGAATAGAAAGAAAGACAAGAAAAAACAACCAATACACAATTTCTACACTTAACCTTCCATCTAAATAATAATCTATATTTATTATAAATTCATTATTTACCTCTTATGAGGTATAATTAACGACACATCTGATGGGAGAGCCAACACCTCTCTCTGTGCTGTGGTGGAAAAAAAGAGCCTGGCTTGTTTCAAAACGATCATCATCAATCGATTATTCGAATTTGAAAAATTGAAATCACAGCGTGACTGCATTCTCAGTTTCGATCTAGCATTTGGTGGCGTTTCGAGTGTAAATTGAAAGTTCTCTCTCTTTTTTCTGCTGATGCTGGTGTGTTACACACCTAAGGCGACTCGAGATGATCCCTACGGAGTTTTTGTGCGCGGTGATTTATTGTACGGCCCAGAGAGAGAAGTTAGACACATTTCTTGTGCGGTGATAACATTGCGCAAAAGGAAGACGTCTTATCGCGCGGCGAGTTTTAATTAAAAACTTGTAATACGTCCCCTTTCCTAATCAATTTCCCTTCAAATATACTTGTTTGTCAAATTGACTCTTTCAACAATTGTAACAAGCTCACGAAAATTGCGAGGCTTTTCTTTCTTTTCCGCCGCGCGCGCTCGTGACTATGGAAAATGTCACACGCGCTGAGCCACCAGCAAAAAAAAGGCTGAACATCTAATATTTATTAAAGATGAATCGTTTAAAGTGATCGATATAGTGAAGAAAAAAAATTTTTATTGATAAGGCGCGCACCGAAATTTCCTTTATCAGCTCTTGTATGCACAACGCGCGTATCGCATCGACAATAGTTATATATTTTACAAGATATTTCCATCAAGATAAGGTGCCGAATTTTTGGCCATTGAGTGCTCTTGTATTGGGTGAGAAATACTCCACTTTTCCTCTGACAATTGCGGAAAGTGGCCGAAAAACACACTCACGCGCAGTCTTTGAGCGCCCGAAATCGCTCTAGTGGCCATAGATCGATCGCAGATGATCAGTTGGCTGGTGCGCCGATCGAATATAGCAATCAAGTTGTGCGAAGCAATAAATCATACAGCGCGCCAGAGCGCAGCTATTGAATGGTTTAAAACGTGTGATTTGAGGTGTTGATTATTTGAAACATAGTTTAACAAATTATTCAATCTCCTGCGACTCTCCCACAGACGTTTCTCCCCCTTGTGAGACGCCTGTGCCATCGCACAGGCAAAATGTCATGCCGAAGTAGGTAAAAATATCATTGAGAGTATTTGTTTTCATTGCAGGTTAGCAATATTGCCTGAATGGTCACCGACGACAACTCGAGGGCTGCGGCGCCTGAAATCTTTCCATCGCCAGTGACCTGTGTGTCAGACATGACCGTAACAATAGAATGAGTGTCCGAAGTTGAAATTTTCCCGACGATGTGCTACTTTTACTAACAGTGCGGAATCCTTTTCGGTTCACAGTGCAAAAGAAGTATTTAAGAGAGAGAGAGAGAAAGATAAAGAATTTGATGAGTGGACTTGAGTGGTTATCGGATTAATTTAGGGCAAAACCTAGTTTAGGCTATTAAAAGAAAAATCTTTTTATGTGATAATATAAAAATTGAGAAACTGCGAGTTTTTCATCCCATTAAATGCCGAAATTTTGAAATTTAAAGCGACGTCTGGAGGTATAAATAAGCAAATTGTATAGAGTGGCCATTATGCGACATGTGAAAAAATTGCGTTTATTGCCTCCTATATGAGTAAAAACGGCGCTTTTTTTCGTCTCCTTCTAACCATACTCATTTTATGCACAACACGAATTTGATTTAAAACGTGCATCATAAAAGCGACGTGGAGTGTCCGATCGCTGGCAGAGATCTCCGCTAATTATGACAGTTCTATTTTTTCGAAAGTTTTCTCTGCCCATGTTAGAGATCGCCAGAGAAATTCAGTGAAGATCGAAGGGTATTTAATGATAACAATTTTAACGGGTGAACACATAAAAAGAATTTAACGGCGAAGAGTAGCCGAGGTGAGAGACACAGTCTTGAGCTTCTGGGACAGACTCTGAGTGAATTGTGTTGTTTTTTGGGGATTGTGGCAACTCGACGGCACCCCAAACGGAGCTCTACACCATGGATATGACATCAACGGCGGAAGCCGCTCGGTGGTACGACAACCCACGCCTGGGCGGCTCGCCGAACGCCGGGGCCGCGGCCAGTGGCGCCCACCAGGCGGCCACCGGCGGCGTCGACACGTCCGACATGGGCGCCTTCTACGCGCTGGAGAACGGCGGACACCGGAGGTACTACTCCACCGGATACGCGCCTCACGGTGAGTTACCAATTCAGTCCGCTTACGCACTCGCCGATCGCGATGAAAGTCAACACTAGATTTACCGAGAGAGCGACGAAATGCGCCAGAATTGTCTGATGATGACACAATGAATGGAGCAAATATGTTCCAATGGTCGGAAAAACACACACACAGTCAGTTAAAATCCTATTTAAGAATGATCATGTAAGCGTTTTATCCCGCGCTTCTGTTTCAATCTTTAATTTTAACTTGAAATTTTAACTTTATGTTAAAAGTTGGTTAAAATTCATTTTCAATTACTCTTGTTGATAGCTTCAAAGCTAGTGGGATAAATCCCTAAGAATATCAGGAATCTTTCAACTTCTTAGATGGTTTTTCGTATTATTTCTCTTAGTCTGAATGATCTTCTATTGGACAAATGGGTTCAGTTGGGCTTTGAAGGGTTTAAAATCATGATATGAACCTTTATAAGCCACATTATAGATTATTTATCTCTAGTATTAGACTCTAATCAAGCATTCAATTGAGAATGAGAACATGGTGGATAGAAAAATCATGATTTCTGTTGAGTCTCTTTGGGTAAATCTAGTGTTGATGAGCGATTTCGCCTCAAGTCGCGAAGGCGATGAGAAAATGGGATGGCTCACGAAAGTGGCAGAGAGAGAGAGATTGCATTAAAAAGGCAGAATTAATGCAAAAGAGGTCCCAATAGTTAAAGTAAAACTATGTCACAAAATGATGTCTCAATACTTTTTTCGTCTTCTCACTTGAAATGGCAGAAATTCGGCAATAGAGGTATTTTAAATGAACAATCCCCAACATTAATAGCATTTTAAGGCACGCCAATAACCATCAAACTCCCCATCAAATTTTTATATTAGAAATTTATTGACTTTTGCGTGTTGTGTCTGCAACAACAAGTTTCCCGCGCGCGGTTATTTACATTTGATGGTGAATGAGAAAAGGCTGTTTTTTTTTTTAATTTACATGTAGAACTTCTCTTGACGTTTTTTTCGGTGGTTTAACTAATTCCGATCAATATCATTTCTTCACTAATTAAAACACAATTCACTCGCTGAGATCCTTTGGCAAAAAGAAGAAAAAAGAAATGTCCGCGGATTGGACATAAGTAGCAAAATATTTGAGTGTCAATTTCTATTTGTAGGACATCAACATTTTAATGGCTATGCCCAATTAATCAGATTGTATAGTGAATAGGAGAGTAAAGGTAAAAGTTTTATACTTTAGATTTCCAAGAGGCCTCACTTTTGGCATAATCAAATTTTATTGCGAAACTTTGATGAAATGAACTGATTGGGTTTGACTTTAAGAGAAGAACGGAACATCGCGTATCTCTGAAATCACAATTTCTTCCCGAAAGACAATTTAACTTTGCACTGCATATGATATGTGTGCAATGTGTTTTCGGCTGAGATTTTTCGCCATTTCTTGCGTGTCGGCGGTGAAAAAAAATCGGTGAGACTTCCTTCGGTCGGGCTCATGTTGTGACTCAGGCCTGATGACCAGTCATTATGGACTCGTTACGGAGTCTAGGCGACTATTTCCCTTGATTACTATTGAACTTGAATTTCGCATGCAGGCAACTCTTGTACAATTGTATGAAATACAGCCGCAAAGCTTAATGTGCCTCCGGACAAACTTTTTTCCCGCCACGAAGATTGCGTACATGAAAATTAAATTCCTTTTTTGAGAGACTGGAACCCCACCAAGAGATGCGTTAATGTATAAAGAGATACACATATTCACAAGGACTCATTTATATTATTTGTAGCTCGTAAATGTCTTGCTGGGCTCCATTTGAGATAAACAGTGAACAGTAGTTGCTCAGACAAGCACTAATGGAGCGCATTAATTTTAAATCGTCCGGCGTGATGCTTAAATTGAATTATCAAATGTAACAAGTCTATGTTCTGCTGGGAAGAGATTGAATTTGAATGAGTGTAGGTTGTATTTTGACTAAAGACGACAACTCTACTTGAATAAATATCAAATTTTTCAAATCATTTCACCAACTGCTAGGCAAAGCCACTCCACTGGATCAACTGGAGGATCTCTGAATTGAATGCTTGTGTCGCATTTAATTAGTCAAGCATCGTCTTGACGAGATGCTCAGGCCGAATTACACTCTATGAATCAAAGTGATTTCTTGAGAAAATGGTTCTCCAATATATTTTATGCATATGTTCTCCGAATGAACATTATCACGCGCATTCATCTTATTTCCCCATATTATTGTTATTATTATTACGATTTTTGTGTTTGCTCTTCGGGGCATTATTCGGGTGAATATTGTGTGCATGCCACGATGGGACAGTCATTGTGACAAACCTATTTCAGGAGTCCTTATAAATAAATATTAAGTTTTTTCTTCTCGGTAATCATCGCGCCACACAACAATAAAAACATCAATGTTGTATAAAGAACGTGCAAGAAAAAGAAGATGAACAATAAGGAGATAAAAGACGATGGAAAAAAGCACAGAATTTATATTCGCTTTTGTCACCTTAAAATAGATTTTCTTGTCATTATTGCCGTGCACTTCGTCAATGGAGAGTTTTGAGTCTGTTAAGCAATCCAGACAAAGAATGAAAGATATATAATAAAAGGAGTGAGATTTTTTTCTCCACTCCTTTTTACGTCTATTTTCAAGAGAGATAGAGGAGAAGAAGAAGAAGGGTTTCAATAAATTATAAATTTATATTGTTAAGGACGCGACGCCATGCAACATATCGATGAGTTTAACGTATGCTTGAGTGAAAAATGTCCCGGGGAATCATTAAGATTCCTCTCTTACCTGAAAATAACAACATTTTTGCCCTTTCTACACCTTGAATATCTGCATAAAGTGCAAGTGCCGTCGGCTCTCGGAATACTTGGAAGTCGAGCTGAACGGAAAACTCATATAGCTGTGTGAGAGGCGAACTTATGCGCCTTTTGCGATCAATATTTGAAGAAGGATTTCACCATAATGAGTCCATTAATATCCAAGTTGTCCTTTTGCCGTTTCTGCCCTTTTTTTCAATTGAATTCAATCCACTTACTCATTCACAGCCTTATCTAATCGGAGTCATTTCACTAATCCATGTCCGAACTCCCACTATGGCGCATCTACACAGTAATAATGCGTCTACGCTGCGTATGAGTGATGGAAACACAATAAACTAATTAAATAATCAAACTAATTCGCGGTATTATCGAGGTGGTTCATTTAATAACAGAGTGGCAACCAATCGTGAAATTAAATGACTTAATCGCACTTCGATTTATCGATCGCTTGCTAAATCGATCAATCAAAATCACTTATCTGAATTTTTTTTGTCGTCGAGATGATCAATAAAGAAAAATATGATCAAATGAGCTTGAAACGCACGTATTGATGCTGTTTTCTCTGTATTTTTTCCGCCGCGCTGAAGCCTTATAATTTTTATGATTTTCGTGTTTCCTAAACGGAATCAATGACATGCGGGATATAAATTCTCCACAATGCCACAAACTTTTCTTCACGGTGTATTCTGTCTTTGGGCGTCTGAGCCGAACGAAATCAGCCGTTGGCGGCCGCGCGGCGAACCTTCAAATTATATCGGCCGCTAAACAATTTACTTCTCATGACTTCATTTTGGGGGTGTTTCGTAGAGTTTTAGATTCTTTCACTTCTTCAATTATTGCACATTTTCTGATCGGTTTTCTCACCAAGTTTAACTTGATGAAACTTTATCGTTTTCCAAAAAATTAAAAGATATAATAAATGTTATAATAATTCATAGTCTAAGAATATTTTAGGAATATGCTGAAAAACAGGAGTTAATGTGTTTATCAAAGAGGCGTTTTATGCAGATTACTGAAGTTTGAGACAATTTTCTAAGGAAAAAATACTGGGAGACATTCAATGTCTTCATGAGCTATTTTAATGGCTGAAACAGTCATCAAAAACTATCATCGTGAGCCTAAAATCTCCGCTGCAATTAGACTTTGGAGTGCATGTTTGGAATATACAGCAGTTTCGCCTGCTCTGGGCGATATTAGCAAGTGGCATTATATCATATTACACATTGTCCTTGTCAAAGAGGAACACAAGAAGATTCGCAAGAGCGCAGAGCACTTTTGTGTTACATTCCGCGGATACTTCGTCCAGTCACTGTGTCTGTCGCGCTGGGGGACCAGGTGTTGCCCTGCGCGCAGTTCAGGAGATCCGCATGTCGCGCGCTCCGTCCGCGATTTGGTTGCGATCCCACACTCTGCCCAATAAAATCGGCCCCATACTGCGCTTCGATTGAATTTCATATAAACTTTCTTCACCTTTATCATCTGATCCTGTCCTCACGTTGTGCGCCCGCCAATTCTGGGGAATTGTAGAGCAAAATGGGAAAATCACACTAAATATTTGCGCTATCTCGCAATTGCTCTTTTCTGTAATGCCTTTTCTGTGGGCTTTTCACGCATTTGATTCCTCTGTGACTTGTCCGTGATTCAAAAAAATATCCCCATGCGGATGTGGCAAGTCACTTTTCTGAGAATCTCTCTTGTGCCTGGGTGCTTAAGGTTGTACATCATGTGACAACAACCCTCGCCATTGCCCAGCGTCTCGTGTGTGTGCGCGCATTTGCGTCTCTCTCTCTGGGCAAATGCTCGTGCCTAATAAAACAAAGAGCTGCTTTTATAATGCGAATTTGAGGACAAAATGCAGAAATGCGCTCCGTGAGGCGGTCTCCCTTTATTAATTACATTGAATTTTCAAACTGTCTGGCGGTCAATTTACTTTCCGCCACTCCGTGCACTGTTCCACTTTTTCCACAAAATTTTCTCCATATCTGTGCGCTCTCTAGCACATTGTGCCTTATTTCTCAATGCACTTGAGGGGGAGTTGCTGTAATTGCACACAGACAAACACTGCGCCTCATATTCCGCAGAATTCATCCACTCCATAATCTCAACTCTGTTTTGCTTCACCAATCTCTCAAATGGGATGATTATACAAAAGTCTCGGGCTCTGGCTGCAT